GGAAGAAGTCGGGAGGGGGGGGAGAGAGAGAGAGAGAGAGAGAGAGAGATAGAGAGAGAGAACAAAATCAAATGAATCTACCGCTAGATCATGGAAATATACATTGCGCACATGCGCGCAGCACACCAGACGTGCGGAGCGCACTGTGCAGCGTGCACGGTGCACCCAGATGCACGGAGCGCACCCTGGGTCCGCGCACAGCTCACAGTGCCGGTGCGCCGCAAGTATGGTATATAGTGAAAGGATTCACGAATCTCAGTACCCCTGGTTCAGTCCCAAGTCCCAGATCCTAGTGCCGAGTCCAATTCCATGTTCCATTAGTAGTTCAAACCACTCGGGTCCGAGTGTTGCATGCATGGTCGTCTCATTGCAATAGGTATGGATACTGGAGGCATGGAGGGTGTGTGGGAATAAGATGTGGGGATGATAGGCAAGAACAACTGCGAGAGGGGGGGGAGAGGATGAAGGTGCAAGAAGAGTTGGTGATGGCTGCCACTGCGGCTACAAGGGGTTGGTGAAGGCTGCCACTGCTCCTGCAAGGTGGCTGCCAGCGCTAGCAGTTGAGTGGGTGTGGGGAAGGGGAGGTGCAGTTAGGTGGCATGGTGTATTTCATTCTGAGTCAGGATCTAGCTCAGTGGGTACACCCATGAACTGTTGAAAATACAGACCCGTGTTCGAATCCAGATGATGATGGAACTCGATGAGTAAAAGTTGTAAAACCAGCTATTTCTGAATTACCTGGGGCCGGGCAGCTTAATTATGATATCTCTCAAGGCCGTCTCCCTTTTTTTTTTTTTTTTTTTGAACTCCGTTTTTTTTTTTAATATGGCTTAGGTTCTGGAATGTAGCTTTTGAACCTACGACAACGAGTTTACCAGTTGAAGTCCATAGAATCTTCTTCTTCTTTTTTTTTTTCTTTTTTTTTTATTTGGACCATTTCTCGATTTATGTGTGTCATCCTTGCGCAGGGGCCATGCAAATCTTCTCTGTATCGTTCCAATTTTAACAGATGTCCCGAAGGACAAAGTCCATACAATCCCCTTAATTCAAAAAGTGGGTCATATGGAAGGGACGACGGCCAGATTTGAGGGCCAGGTCCAAAATCCCAATGGCTAGCTTAGAAGGTTTCATGCCTGAGTGGCACCGATTTGGTGCTGGTTCTTTTTTTGGTTTTTCTTTTTTTGTAAATACAACAAGAAAGCCGCAGTATTATATAAACTGATCTCCGTTTTCTTTTTTACCCTAATGATACCTGTCTTTGGAAACCCACCTTTTTTTTCTTCTTTTTTTTCTTTCTTTTTTTGACCCACATTTGTTTTTGTTCCCTCCTTGTGTGGCATTTTGTGTGTGCGCGCCTGAAACAGGTAGTGAAACAGGTTGGGGCGTTGAGCTGGACCCACTTCTTTCGCATGCTGGAGAAGATCTGGAGATGATCTGCAAAGGCAAAGTGTTTGAGCACCTTTCTCAAGTGAATGGCCGTTCGGGATAGGAATGCGTTAACGAGGAGGTCTCCATCCGTATGCCACATCACACTATGCCATGCCATGCCAGTTGGTACCCCCCCATGAACTGCTGAAATACAGACCCAAGTTTGAATCCAGATGCAATCATAAGTCTGAGTTAGCTGAGGCCGGTCGGTTCAACGATGATATCTCAAGGCCATTGCCTTTTGAAAAGAAAAACAAAAGAGAGAGAAAAAGACACAGCCACCCAACTTTTGAAGACACATTTCTATGGTGCAGGCAGGAAATTGCCATGGCTCGAGAGAGGGGTAGCATGGCAAAGAGATAACCTGATCCATGATACTGAATGGCAAAGCGCACCGCACTGTCTGTTCATAATTTCATATTATTCAATTGAAAGTTGCACAATCAGCGGTCGTACCTTTTTTTTTTTTTTTTTTTTTTTTTTTTTTTTTTTTTTTTTTTTTTTTTTTGGTTAACATCAGCGGTCGTACTTTGGTTTCCTGCTGATTGAACTTTGTTCACAAGATACAGCTTTTTTTTTCACCAGGAAAAAAAAAACAAAAAACGGTGTCTTTCGGCCGACCAATGTAGCGCATGCAAATCGCAAGAGATGTAACACGGCGTGCCAGTATGACGGAGCACAACATGTTCAAGCCTCAAGGATAGAGAGAAGCTACTACTGTCTTCACCCGATAGAACGCCCGGTCATTACAGCTGTATTGGGGCCAATTTTGAGACCAGATGCAGCAACAATGAACGGGTGTTTCATTTGCATGAAGAGTCATTGAAGACGGTAGATGTACGTGTGTGCCAAGATGTAATATGTGTGTGCCAGATTGCATGCCGGTTCGGGGAGAGGGAGGGAGGCTTGAAGGTGGCCGATCGTTCCACCAATAGCCCCTGAAGTCGATGGCACACGAAAAAGCAGCAGCGAGCAGGGAGGCAAGGGGATGATCAATTGATCACAAGTATGGTTTTGCTTCTGGAAAGAGCACCTCTGGAGCTGTCGAACTATTCTGTTGGCGGGGGGGGAGGGGAAGGCGGGGAAAAGAGCGCTGTGCGATAGGATCCGAAACCCTTGGTTCCTTGAATCCCTCATTGTGCTGCTCTTCATGCTTGAGGCCAACTTGCAGTCCTTTGTCCAGACTGTAGCCTATTGCGAGGGTCGGAGCCCTCGGCACATGGCCCTGCAGCAGGCGCGCGCCCGCCCTAAGCGAAGGCGGGCCCCCTGAATTTGAACGCGCCCTGAACTCGTCAGTTTTTGCAAATCTTGGTAGGCGCCAGACAGTCGCCACGCACCGGTTGGTTACATCCGCCCTGCACGTGAGAATGGGAAAGATTTGTGAGCCTTACAGGCCGTTCTCAACGTGGGCAAAGCAGGGGGCATTGCACGTTCGTGCCTGGGTGGTTGGGCAGGCGGCAGGCCTAACCAATTTGGTCCCAGGCCACTGTCTGAATAGGCCTGGGCGCAGACACTTTGGCCGAGACTGAAGCTACTGGAAACTCGGTCTCACGTGATGGGGAACAAGGAGAGTGCCTGCCACTTTCCATATAGGAAAGGGCCAGGCGCCAGTGCAGGTATTCGGGCACTTGCATTTGCGGGCGCAGCGCTGCTGGAGCACTGGCTCGTAGGCTGTTAGCTGAGCTAGTGCAAGTGCACGGGCGCACGCGGGCGTCGTGAAGGAGCAGGGCGCTGCTGAGGGTCGCGCCATAGCCCAGCCCTTCATAGCCAGGCTTCGGGCTTGGTTGGTCAGCAGGTGGTCGTGGTCTTCGTGTATGGGAAGGAGACGTGGGAAGAGAAGACGAGAGAGAGAGAAAGAGAGAGAGATGAGGATTATGATGTGAGGGCACATACCTGGTCTTGGCAATAGTCTACAAGGGTCGACATCTGCATGTACTTCGGTTATGCTGCTGACGTCAACAGTTGCATTGTCAATTTGTAGGCTGGTAGTAGCTGCATGATAGTAGTCTGGGCGCCGAGCGCCAAGTAGGAGAGGGGCTCTGGATACTTATGTTGGTGATGGCGAGAGTATGCTCTCATTGACAATCGGATTCAGTGTTTTGGTTCTCCATTGGTGTAATATTGGTGCAATTCTGCTTTCTGCGCAGTGTCAGACTTCCTGGCTTTCAATGTGATTTTGCATTCTGGAATCTGTCATTTCGCTATTGCTCATTTTCCTTGCATACTAGCCTTATAGACTAACATGTATTGGTGGCAAGCTCCATATTTTATTATTTTGAATTTTCCCCTCAAATAGTGGCACAAGTGTTACTGAGAGAGAGAAGGGGAAAATGGAGACTTTTCAACTATTATTATTATAATATTATACTATTATTATTATTATTATTATTATTATATATTATATATTATTATTATTATCATTATTATTATTATTTATTATTATTATTATTACTATTATTATTATTATTATTATTATTATTTTGCAATTGTTATCCTAGCCAGCCTGAATCAGAAGTACAGTCATGTCCCACAAGTGAGTGCATCACAATCGCAGTCAATTGGATTCGACAGAACAAGAAAAAAAAGAAGCGGGGTGCACAAGGGATCTGTGACGAGGGGAGGCGAAGTGGGAGAAGGGCGAGTTAGTCCGTCTCTTGTCTTGTTAGTCGGTTCTCCTCTGCTATAGTTTGGTCTAATCTGTTTTGTTATCGTCTGCTGTATTCTGCTGTGGTCTGCTGTGGTATGTTTAGCAACGCTTGGTCTGTCTGTTTTGGTGTGCTTTGATTTTAGGCGCTGCAGTCTGGTTCCGTTTGGTTTACCGTGGTTTGATTTGGCTTCGTGAAGCGATAATGGAGGCAAAGGAGGAGTCCCAAGGAGGAGGAGAGTTCGAACCGCTGGGTTGTGACAAGCAGAGATTTCGCTAGACGGGCGATTAGCAGGTGATTCCGCCTGTCTGCTGAGAACACTTGACGTAATCTGTGACTTGTGATGCCTTGTGTAAGGTGCTCACTGCTCACCATTGATTGATCGTTTTTTTTTTTTTGTGGAAACCCCATGTCAGTGTGCTAGAGGGGTGATATGAGCATCCCCTTTCTTTTGTTGTCGTGTGGCATGACACCTTACACCACCAGTACCAGGGCCCTTCTGCCGCAATTGGTGGCCCGTATACGCACCCGCAATATTTCAATTTTCTGGCCTGCCTGCAGCCAGTTTGCAGCTTGTTTTTTTTTTCCCAGCCGGTTTGATACATACTCAATGCGAATTTCATCCAAGTTTTTTCTTCGGGAAACAGTGGCCCGTTCGGTACTGGTGGCTGTTAAACCACAAGTCCCTTGGGACCGCTTTGACTTAGCTGCGGCTACATGGCATGACCCCAAGCAGAGAAAGACCGGGAAGTGGGAAGTCTCAACATTTCAGAGTCTTCGGACAGATGATTTGCAATTTTGTACCCATAGCTCAGTGAGTGAAGCCAAGCAAGGCAAGGGACTCGATATCGTTTTCAGACAATACTTCGACAAGACTGTATAAAGACAGAAGGTCAGTCAGACACGTGGTGAGCATCTTACTCAGAGGGCACTGACTCTGGAAAAGACAGCCTGATCTTGCTAACCTAAGCAATGGGGTTTACAGGGCAAGGCATGGTTTTGGCTGCACCTGTGCCAAGCTAGTTGGGGACAATTTCTTCTGGACCAGGTCCTGTTAGACTATAATGAACAAGCTTGCCATCTGGACCAGGTGACTAGTGCCTAGCGGGGGCGAATTCGGCATCTGGACCATTTTCACCGGTAAACCGTAGGCAGAGATAGAGAAGAGGACAACAAAAGAGGGGCTGTGACAAACTGTTTCGTCGGAGTTTCACCGACTCGTCAGGAGGCTGAACCCTCAACAGTCTGCAGAATCCCCTCACTGATTACACTGTAAATGATAATCTACCTTAACCAAAATCAAAGTAGACCATCACTCACCCACACCAGATGGAAAACTCTACAGACTGTCG